GGACCGATTGGTTTTGCATTCCTCCTTTATGGATGCTGCACCATAATTCGAAACGTTCTATCCATTGTTCAATTTCCGATGGGTAACCGTGGAGGGTTAATGGTTTAGTGGCAGGAATATCCATTGCGCGACGCAAAATTGTGATAATCAGAATAGTACTGANNAATAACAGCATAATTTATGAAAGGTAATAGGCCATATGATTGGTTGAACGACCGTCCTCCAATCATGTAACCGTTTTCGCCGACGCATCAGATGTACTAACTCGGATGTCACGTTGGCCCGATGTACCATTGGTCGAGCATCCTGAACTGTGATTGGATGACATGAAACTGTACCTGGTCGTGCCTGGAATGCGGTCACGTAAGTCTGGATCGCCAGAGAAAGCCACCCTCAACATCATCAACAGTGCCTGTGAAAACCGAATGGGTTAATCCCAATATTCACCATCTAAAGTGAACTGATCTAATCAAGACCCAACTCTGGGAACGAGTAATTTGAGAACCGTTAAATTGGATTCATTCATTTGTCAGAAGTTATTATATCTGACATTTTGTGCTGATTCTATTCTGAGCCTGAAATTTTTCTTTCACAAACGGTTATGATTTATCATAGAATTCGTAATAAACTTCCATTCAAGGTTGTGGATCGGGCAGTAAAATACAATTTGTCCTTGAAGAATGGATTTACGGGTTTCTGACTAATAAACATTCGGTACTAAGCTTCTAGAATGAGAGTGGCACCGCATTATGTTCTGGGTCTGTTCAATTAGCAGATCAGTTCGTTTCTTCCTCCGTCACCTTTTGCTGATAGATAGGGGCTATATCAGTATTTACGCTCGTAGTTATTTCTTTCATACAAAATTCTTTCAAATTCAAGTATATGTTCGTGTGGTTTACAGTACAGGGTCGACAAACACGCTCAACGAGCCACCATGTCCCCTTAGTTTTGCTCTAAAGGTGTTCCTATTTTGACTGTGACCAAGATGTTATTAATTTCCATGGGCTGCACGACTTGAGCAATAAGTGTTTGCCCTAATGTGTCTTGGCCAAACTGCAATAAACAATTTATCACATGATGTTTAGTAAGCGGAAACAGCTAGCTGGCACGCATCGAATGCATCCGAGAGCCACCCGTTTGATTATTGATTGTTGTTGTGACATGTTGATTTCCAGGTTTCCAGGCGCACACAATAAAATGAAGGCATGACTCATCACTGTTCCAGGTCGCAACAGAGATTCAGTTGAAGGCACACACACACAAAGCACCTATTGTGGTTCATCTTGGCTGAAGGCACACGCTTTAAACCACAACCACGGGTTATTAACCTGCATAATGCTTCGATGTGACGAGGTCAGATTTACTTACATCTATATTGAATCCGGTGACCTTTACTGATTCTGTGACCAAACTGGCGACAGAGCGCGAGCGCGTTTACCGTGCGTCGGATAAAGCCGAGTGCGTGCTCGTGTGTACTTTGCGAAGCACAGTACAGTACAAATGGCTGTTAACCGTTGTTGATCATATCTCACTGTACCGTATGGATTCGTGCACACCGGCGCGGACACAAAAATGGGATCCGGTTGAACAGGGCGATGACAAATGTGAAAGTTTGGTATCCGCAACAGAACTGATGTGAAACAGTCTCCATTGCAGTCTTCAGGCAATAATGAAACTGATTTGGCGTTCATTGCATCGACCTGGAAAGTGCATGTTTGAATCGAAACGACATCGTTCAGTTGTTCCACCTGTAAATTTCTCTTGGTACCCCTAGGTGACCGCTTCGAACCCTTTGCGGACACTACAATTGTTCGAAGATAGTTTGCAATTACTACTTGTGAATGTCATATGCTAACCATAATTTACCCGGTTTACTGTGTCTTGGAAGTCTTTAAGTGATACTATATGATTTCAGCGATAAAGATTAGCGAATTCAGAGCCCATACTCAGAAAAGTGCATTTTGGAAACATTCCAATTTTTATATTTGTATTTTCTTATAAAATTCTGTAACCGTTACGAAAACTATGGTAACTTTCGACAGCCTTCGTTACGTTATTTCCGTTGATGTTGATTTGATAGAGGTATCTCATTCCGTTCCGAAACTATGGCCAAAATGGTCATTTTGATTGTTCATTGCTTGAAGGTGCTTCTGTGGTGGTGTCACTGAAAGTGTCGAACAAACTGGATGTGAATCTGGTCAACACTGATTATATCGATCGGGCATGATCTATTGATGTCCCGCTTGAGATGTAGCTGCTTGAGATGTAGCTTATGAATTCTATTGTAGCATCGTTCGATGGAGCAATGGCTCAAGCGTTGATCGCGCATGATTCACTGGCATCCGCGGAGGGGGACAAAGACAAACACACAGGGGCGTACGCGTACTTGCGAGGTAAACAACCGATATGTATGTCATGGGAATTCAGGCGTGTGTGACCGAAGCCCGTCTCACAATTGTCCCTCGCGCTTCAACGGGAGGTAGAGAAATCGGTGCTGCATGGTGGTCATCCAGACATCGCTAGTAAGCTTGTCAGCACCGGTGAGATCAACGAGACAGCTCGAAATGATACTCGGACATTTTGATATCACACCCGTACATCTTGATTGGATACTGGGACAACTTGAATTACAATAATTATAGTTGCACAATCGTCTTCTTTTTCTTTTCATTTTAATTCCTTTCATTGAATATACAAAGATACGATTTTCAGGAAGGGGGAAGCGGCCAATCAGAGGGCTGCCATACAACACACAAATGAGGAAAGTCAGGCGGTGGTGGTGGGATTCGAACACACGTCCTCCGGGGTGATAATTTGGTGACATTAGCACCGGGCCACCATCGTAAAGAAGAATCAAATAATTTTTATTGTAGTGTATTGAAGCCTCAGCAAGTTATGTACAAGCTCTCAGCCAAAATGAAATCACTGTTAGAATAGTGTTAAAAAAGGATAAAACGTGGGACATACAGTGTGCAAAAGGTGAATTAACTACAAAGTGCAATAACAAACTCAGAATAAGCACTCTTTACCGATCAGTGTCTGATTAAGACAGGGTACCGAGGAGATGAACAAGTGTTTTTGTGTATTAGAAAATTGGTCTCCAACAATAAGCCCATAAAACGTACAACTATACTGAACACGACAGAATAAGGGGTTCGGAAGAAGTGACAACTGACACCTGTTAATAACACCCGGGATATTATTCATTTTTCAATAGGACACTTACACTTCGACAGGCGTGGGTGGGGAGCGTTTATCACAAACTTTATCTCTACAGTGTTCTTCATTCCCTTATATCAATTGTATGGCACCTTACAGAAGAAAAAAATAGTTCACTTAAAACGACTTCAGTCACAATCCTGCAACTGCTCAACTACTTACTCGCGGTCGGCAATGAAGGTTATGCGATTTGACCGAACACACCCTTTTCGGATTTCATCATCTGACTTGGATACATTGCTTTATTATGTGTCCAATGCCGACAGATAAAAAATGTTAATAGAACGGCTCAGGATATACTGGGAACTGTCCAAAGAAACGGTGGCGGCAGTGTCAAAATTATTTCACAATATACAAGAGCAGTTTAATGGCAAAACAAACGCAGAATTACCCCACTCCAAATAGACAGTAAAATACCTTGAGTCGAGAACACTAGTTCAAGCCTTCATTTGGGACAACACAGTAGGGATTAATGGGGGGAAGGTGTGAAGTAAAAAGAAATTCAAATGTGAGTAGACTTGATGTGCGCAATTAGTGGCACAGATGCATAGGACGCCACGTTTTGCGCCATTTTATATTACCAACTGCGGCATTGTTTTGCCTAACGCTAACAGCAGCAGATTAGGGTTACGCAAAACGGTTGGAAAGGCCGAGTTGGGTTACATGTGCGCTTGGGTACTGTCAGGTATGACAAAATCGGTGACCCTGAATCTCAATCTCTCAAAGGTGTGTTTAGCAACGTCTACTTCACCAACCACTCGGCAAAGTACTCTGACATCCCTTATGTCTTCTGCTCTGATTTGTCAATGTAAGTCTCAACTCAAATATC